TGGAGCACAAGTCTGATGGGGAGCGGCTGAGGGAGCTGGGGGGGTTTGGTCTGGAGAAGAGGAGGCTGAGGGGAGACCTGATCGCTCCCTACAACGACCTGAAAGGAGGGGGTAGCCAGGTGGGGGTTGGTCTCTTCTCCCCGGTAACTAGCGATAGGACAAGAGGGCATAGTCTGAAACTTCACCAGAGGAGGTTCAGACTGGAAACGGGGAGGCCTTTCTTCACAGAAAGGGTGGTTAGGCGTTGGAGTGGGCTGCCCAGGGAGGTGGTGGAGTCACCATCCCTGGAGGTGTTTAAGAAAAGACTGGACGTGGCACTTAGTGCCGTGGTCTGGTTGACATGGGGGTGTTAGGGCAAAGGTTGGACTCGGTGATCCCAGAGGTCTCTTCCAACCAAATCGATTCTGTGATTCTTTGTGCCTAAGCAAGCAGAGAAATGCTGGTAAGGCAATAGCCAGACTTCCAGCAGTGAAAGAAAATAAAGTGATACAGCATTCCTGGGAGTCTAATGCAGGTCAGTGGAATTGGGCAGTTTCCCTGCTGTTTTCTATAATCCCAATCTGACCAACGCTTACTTGGTGCAGCATGCAGTATTGTGATCTCCTCCGAGTAACCTTCCAGAGACTGTCAAAAAAGAGAGCGGTGGTGCTCACAAACGTACCCTTGTAGGGACACCGGTGCAGCTTGGCCAGCACAACCCTTTGAAGCTGTGTTGGTGTGGCTTGGTTACAGGGTTGTATGAGGTATCACGTGGTAAGGAAAAAATTAATGTAATTGATTTCCTATTTTATCAATGGTTTTACTAGGATGTCTGAGTGTTTTCCTTGGTTTCCAAGGGATTGTGTGTTCTAGATCTGTAACAGTACCCTTGTTCCTAATCTTAACCGGAATCTTTAGTTCTTACTGATGATTTGTGCCAAAATGTGCCAGAATGGATCGCTCAAAAAGCGTGTGCTTGACTTTCTTGAGTATACGTTTCATGTCCAATTTTTTTTTGTCATGCTGCTTTCTTTGCACTGATGAAGGCATAGCAAATGAATCTAAAAAACTGTATGGAGCACAGTTCCACCCTGAAGTTAGCCTCACAGTGAATGGAAAAATGATCCTGAAGAATTTTCTTTATGATATTGCGGGATGCAGTGGTACCTTTACAGTGGAAAACAGAGAACTTCAGTGCATTCAAGATATCAAAGAGAAAGTGGGCTCATCGAAAGTGCTGGTAAGTAGATTGAGTTGAATCTGAAAGATTATTTTCGAAAGCCTGACAGAAACACTGACACTTACTGTTACTCAGGTTAATTTGAAAAATGCAGAATTGTCATGATTTGAGTAATACTTTAAACAGACTTTAGAAAGTTTGCACAATTAGGTTGATACGTTGTTTGACTTCTTGCTTTCTTCCAAATCATGAGTCAGTAGTCTGTTCTGATCCTCATAGTTGTATCTGAATTAATTGTTAACACTTTCCTCATTGACAGCTGACCAAACTTTTTCTCC